GCAATGAAAGAAGAAAATATCAACCTTGACCTAATGACGAGTGCATTATTTCTTTTTAATCAATGTAAAAGAAAAGCCAAAAAATAAACTGTCAATTGCTGATATCCCCTGATGAATGGAAGTGGTAATAGCTGGATGGTCCGCCTTCGAAACTTCAGATTCGAGACGCTGAAGATTTTTTGTGAAGTTTTATATTTGTATTAATCTTATATATATATATATATATATATATATATATATGATTAATACAAAAACATATTAGCAAAAATAATGCAAAAACATATTAGCAAAAAACATTAGCAAAACAATTGAAATGCAAAATAGAAACAAAAAGAAATAAAGTACAAGAAAAGTAAACTTCTTAGACGTCACTCTCAACCTAAACAAAAATACATACGAAGCGTACAAAAGACATAATGACACCCAACTTACGTACACACATCCTCCAACAATTCACCTTCAATCATCAAGCAAAAATCCATATCAATCAGCTGCAGGCTATCGAAAAACTCATCAAACATAGACATTTTCAATAACAAGAAAACGCCATATGACGAAGCACTAAAAAAAGTGGATACACACAACAGCTACAATACACACCTCCACAACCGAAACACAAAAACAGAAGAAACATTAACTGGTTTAACCCACCATACAAAAAACCGTTAAAATAAATATAGGAAGGGCATTTCTAAACTTAACAGAAAAGTACTTCCCTGAAACAAACCGATTAGCAAAAATATTCAATAAAAATAACGTAAAAACAAGTTACAACTGCACAAAATATAACACAAATAATAAAAAAAAACACAAGAAAAATGCAACAATATGCAATAACGCAACCGAGTAACCTTAATGCAAATGCAGAAATAAAACATATCAACAAACGAATATAAAGACAAGATAAGTGCAAACAACAGCACAATATACTACATCAGTGTCATTGATGGACCATTCAATAAAAGAAAAAACAACCACGACATTTCATTCTCCAACAGAAAAAAACTCAAACAGCACTACACTATCCACATACATATGGCATCTAAAAGACAGAAATATTACACCAAGAATAAGCTGGAAAATATTGAAAAATGCACCTGCCTACAACATTACAAAGAAATGCCCACTTTGCCTACACGAAAAGGTAGCAATAATTTCTCATACCAAACAAAAAGAAATTACTAAACATAAGATCAGAAATAATTCCTAAATGCAGACATGAACATATATACCTATTATCACAATTTATGCCAAACGTATAAAAAAAATAGCAACCAACACTACTAAATAAAACAACATTGACCCTATGGGCATGAAAAGCGAAACCACTGATACCATAGCAACATCAATTATTTTCTAGTTCAAACTACCATCATAATAATTATAATTATTGTTATTATCATTCCACCAACATTACTACAATCACTTCTACCGCTTTACAATAACTATTTGCTGCTACAATTGTTATTATCATCACCCGCTTCCTCCACCATTAGTAACGCATCACAATTACCACTGCCGCATTAGTCCACAATTACTACCACACCACAATTGCCATTACCGTATCAGTCCAAAATTATACCTACTCTCCCCCATGAAAATTAATACCACCGCATGAATACTAATAAATATTAAAAATTGGAGTTTCTACCATTTACATATGCGCAATCGCCAAAAACAAGCAAATAAACGGCTTTAAAATAATAACAAACAGCATTAAAAATATTAAAAATAATATCAACTTTACCCACCATAGATTTACACAGACCTCATCATAAAAAAAGAAAACAGACGGATAGATGTGTGAACGCGTGTGCTTATGTATATTCGTGTGTGCGAGAAAACATTATTCAGCGAACAAAATAGACAAATGGTCTGCGCGCTGACACTGTAGTTGACGAAAGATGTTCGCTACACAATCCAACATTGAATACCGCGACCAATTGCGACACATGGATGCGCATATATCCCCAGTACCACACAGTTCATATATGTTTATGTTTGTGTGAGCTCCAATGAGTGAACGTGCTTGTATGTATGTTTGCGTGCGTATGACTGGCGTTCCGACGACAATGTTTCCTCGCACTACCATAAAAACACCGTTATAGGCAACCATATATAAATCCAAAATTTAGGAATTAATCAGTTTGTCTGACGATCGCAAATTGCGGAAAACCCAAGGTCACAAACTCATATCAATCCAACTATATATATATATATATATATTATAATTCTTTTTTTAAAAATATGATTCCATCGCGATACAGAAATTACTATGTTTCGAAACTGGTGAGCAGTATTTAAGTTTAATTCCAATATTAAACCTTAATTACTGGGTGGCAGTTTCATCTTCAAGCGTTGTTTTGGAATAACTATGGTACACAATGTTTTACTCATTTATAGTTTTGAAATGGAGGTGTGGTCTAGGGTTTGTTTTTACTTTATCAAGGGGTCACTGCTTTGATGGAAGTAGGGGTGTTTGTGATATGTCAAGTTTTTGAAGTCGTGTAAGGTTGTGTTGGGATTTTTTGCTACAATGGCTAATATTATCGGACTCCCTACTAAAATTCTAACTGTAAAAATTATGTGATTGTAGAAATCCTCAAAATTTCCCTTTGAATAATAAATGCCGCATTGAATCTGTGATATACCAATGCACAATCTCATTCATCGAGAATCCAAATATTGAAAAGATATATACAGGATCCACGAAGAATGAATTTAAAATAAGGTGGAGACTACACATAAGATCCTTCCATAATAGTAGAAACAGAAATCAGACATCCCTATCTAAATATTTTTGGCATTTAAAAGAAACAAATAAAACACCAAAAGTAAAATTGAAAAGGATAAATAGAATAAGAACTTGCAAAACCTGGGATGACCAATGCCCTTTATGCCTACATGAAAAACTATACATTATGAAGTTTCTAAAAAACGAAAATTTATTGTCAAAGAAATAAGATAACGTTTTTTTTTTTTTTTTTTGCCGACACCACCAAATATTCGTTTTAATAATTAGCATTTTATTAAAAAATTAAAAATTAAAAATTAAAAATCTACTGACAAGTTCAATTAAAGCGACAGGTTTAAAAACACAACCCAGTCATAATCGTAAAGCCCCTTTAAGAAAAGACAAAAAAATAAACAAAAAAAAAACTACCAGAACTACAACATCAATCAGTTAAAGTCTTAGCATACAGTAATAATAATAATAATAATAATAATAATAATAATAAAAATAAATAAATAAATAAATAAATAAACAGAACTGCAACATCAACCAGTTAGAAATTTAGCAGGGAGTCTGAAAATATTAGCCATTGTAGCCAGACAAAAAACCCCAACCCAAACTTACACGACTCTAAAAACATGACATATCACAAACACTCCTACTTCCATCAAAGCAGTGACCCCTTGATAATGAATAAACAAATCCTAGTCCACACATCCATTTCAAAACTATGAGTAAAACATTCCGTATCATAGTTATTCCAAAACAACGGTTGAGGGTGAAACTGCCACCCAGTAGTTAAGGTTTAATATTGGAATTAAACTTCAATACTGCTGACCAGTTTGATACATAGTAAATTCTGTGTTGCGATGGAATCATATTCTTTTAAAAAAATAATTAAAATCTAGGCTCTACGTATGTATCGAGCATTTCTTTTTAAAAATAAAAACAAAAATACTAAAGAACTTCAGATCATCAATCTAAAAGTTCTTTCCTATATTCTGGGGTCTGGACTGTTTTCATAACGAAATAAATAAATAAATAAAATTCAAAACATGTGAAGTTATTTGTGTCTTTGGAAATGTCATGAATTTCGAATTTTGAATATTTGCGCCACACCATATATATTTCTTTCGCTAGCGACTGACAAGATGCAAGATTTAGATCTTGTTTTAATGTTACACATTATTCGAATCTCATGAACGATGATAAAATGAAAAAAAAAATCCTTTAAAAATATCCTAGAAAATGAAATAGAAATCATGAACTTTTTAAAATGTTTATTTATATTCTTCGAAATAAAAATAATGTTGAAATAAATATTTTTTATTGTTACATATCAAGTACAAAATAAATATTCTCAGTTTCTTTAAAAATGGATTTAAATTTATGGAGAAAGACTAGGAATAAGAGAATTAAAGAGAGGGGAGAAAGAAAGAAAAAAAGAAACATAGAAAATAATAAACAAAAATATTAATTTGTTTTTTACGGTTTATCAACCCTTTATGTGTTAATTAAAAGCGAAACATAGTTCATATTGTAGGAGGTTGCTTACAGTACCCGGTGTCCCCAAGCGGTACGCCACAGGGCTGGATCCTGCTTGATATCGTTATTTGAACGAGAACTTCCGTTTTCAGCGTGACTTGATCGTAGTCACAAAAGCGAAAACGATGAAAGTGAAATTTGCATGAAAAAAGGAACGAGCATGACGAAAAAAGGAATGATAGATGAAAGCAAAGGAGATTGGCAAAATAAATAAATAAAAAAATGTCCCTAAAAGTAAAAAGAAATTTTTTAAAATTATAAATGATAAGAGAAATCAATAAAAAGGAAACCTTCATGAAATGGGAGGAAGAAAGTTTGAAAGACAGACACACATAAAGGAAGACCTTGTACTTGCAGTGAAAATTAATTAAATAAGCTTTCCTTAATCTGAGTTAGTGATTCTTATAATAAAGATAGAAATTGCGAAATTTTGTGCAAGACAAATCATAACTGTCGCAATAATGTAGCCACACATAAACATCTTACATTTGGTTCGGTGAAAGATAAGACCAAGTACGGTTTATGAAGATATTCAAGATGGAAGTAATTCGTTTCCTGAGAATAACTGCATTCGAAGGCTTTGATTTGAATTGAGACTAGATACTGACATGTAGCATCAGTTAAATATGCAAATACTTCCTTCAAGAGGCAAGCCATTAAAAGAGTTATTTAATAAATTTACGTTCGTCTGACACACATCTATAGTAATGGGACACTAATGTTAGATCAAGCTCATTGAACTAGTATACTGAGACTGAGAAACACAAAGAAAGAAAGAAAGAAAGAAAGAAAGAAAGAAAAAGAGAGAAGCGAAAACGAAGGAAAGAAAAAGAAAGAAGGGAAAATGAATAAATAAAACGAGAGAGTGATAAATAAATAAATAAGTAAATACAGAAAGAAAATTGAGAAGGGGAAAAGAAAGAAAGAGAAAGAATGAAGGTATAGAAAGAAATAAAGAAAGAAAGAAAAAGAGGGAAGCAAAAACGAAAGAAAGAAAAAGAGAGAAGGGAAAATAAATAAATAAAACGAGAGAGTGATAAATAAATAAATACATAAAGAAAACTGAGAAGGGGAAAATAAAGAAAGAGAAAGAATGAAGGTAAAGAAAGAAAGAAAGAAAGAAAGAAAGAAAGAAAGAAAGAAAGAAAGAAAGAAGGAGAAGGAAAAATGCAAGAACGAAAAGAGAGAAAGGAAAAAAAAGTAAGAAAAAATGATGAAAAGGAAGAAAAAGAGAGAGGGAGAAATAAAGGAAGAGTGAAAAGAAAGAAAGAAAGAAAGAAAGAAAGAAAGAAAGAAAGAAAGAAGGAGAAGGAAAAATGTAAGAACGAAAAGAGAGAAAGGAAAAAGAAAGTAAGAAAAAATGATGAAAGGAAGAAAAAGAGAGAGGGAGAAATAAAGGAAGAGTGAAAAGAAAGAAAGAAAGAAAGAAAGAAAGAAAGAAAGAAAGAAAGAAAGAAAGAAAGAACGTGGGAAAAATAGAAAGAAAGGAAGAGTGAAAAGTAATAAAGAAGGAAATAAAAGAGAGAGAGGGTAAAGAAAAAGAAAGAAAGAAATAAAGAAAAAAGAAATAAAAAAAGAATGGGAAAAGAAAAAAAGAAAGAAAAAAGAGAGAAGGTAAAGAACGAAATAAAGGAAAACTGAAAAAGCGAGAATGGAGAAAGAAAGAACAAAAGAAAGAAAGAAAGAAAGAACAAAAGAAAGAAAGAAAGAAAGAAAGAAAGAGAGTGGATGGAAGAAGAAAGCTGTGAGATAAATGATAAGGAAGAAGAAAAGGATGATCAGGGAATTCCGAGAGAGAAACCGTAAGAGCGCCCAAGAGAGAGAAAAAAAAGGAAAATAAAGAAACAATGAACATTAAAAAAAAAAAAAACTAAAAAAAAAACCTAAAAATGTTAGGAGAGCAAGGAAAAGACAGCCGTGTTCACGCTTACGTGGATTTACGATCAGAATTTTTACTTATGAAATGAATTAGTTGAAAAATAGTAAGGAAACTCTTAAAACAGTAAATAAGCAAAAGTGAAAGCGATAAATATGGCTGTTCTTTTTCCCCCCAGCCTGGTGTCCGCCCAGCCGTAAGTTAATGAATTGTTTACTTTATTACTGCCTAACCTGTAAACATGTGCATATTCAGATGGGCGACCGGTGATTTCGAAAATATACGACCATCTTTAAAGAGATGTATGTTCCTGACCGAAAGTTTAAAAATAAAAAAAAGTATCAAATTAGCAAAAAACAAACAAAACTTGAGAAGAATGAATATTTTTTTCCTTGTTCAGTTAAAGGTTCCGCGGGAAGAGAAAAATAGAAAGAGACTCTCTAATGCCATCACGACTATTTTAATCTGTCAACGTTAAAAGATATATTTCCAGGAGATATATGTGAATTTTTCTTTTCATTTTTTTTTTTATTTTATTTTATTTTTCAATAATCGTTCAATTGTTTGTTTCAAAGCTAGTTCAAAAGAACGTGCCTCCTTGTCGTGTCGATGTTTCTTATTTTAATTTTTTCGTTGTGAGTTTCAATTTGCAAATAAAAATTCTTTCGAAAATGTTATTTAATCCTTTTATTTTTATTTCCTTTAATTCAGTGCTCCTTGAAGTGACAAAATTAAAAACAAATGAACACACAAACATTTATATGTATATGCAAAATTGTATACGAGTGTTTAGATTTTAATTCAATTTCTGAATAATACCATAAATAGTCAATATTCAGAGTTATTTGCTTGTTCTTATTAATTAGTTGCCATCCTAATAACGCGACCTTAAATGTCAGCAGGATTTTCTAATATATTTCGAAATATATGTAGAGATTTCAAAAGATTAATATTTGTTTATTATATTTTTTATTTTACTTCATTTTATTTCGTTTTTATTCTTGACTTATTTTCAGAATTTGTTGTCAGGTCAACCAGGGCCGACTGATATATTCAGATCATCGTTGGAAAAAAAAAATCCGACATTCTTTTCCTTGCCCGATTTTGGAATGATCTTTTAAGATAATGAAAAGAAAGGCCTTAAATAATTCTTCTTTACATTGCAAAGGGGGGAGGGTGAACCTATCTATTAAACAATCTACTCCTGAGCGCTACTACATGAGAAGTAGTCAATGAAATATTTTTGGAGTCCAGTGATAATTCAATACAAACACTGCACAACAAAGAATAAAAGCGATGTATTAATAACACACACACACACACACACATATATATATATATATATATATATATATATATATATATATATATATATATATATATATATATATATATATATATATATATATACATGTATGTATGTAAAAACAAGTTCCTGGATGCGTAACAAAATAGGATAATTTTTAAGACGAGGATCATAGTTTACAATATTATCACACCTAATAAAATAATAACTTTAGGGACCTTTCAAACGGAGCATCTTCAGAAATTTATATAGTCGGTGTAAAGCTAAATTATCGAAAAGAAAAAAAAAATCCTACAAACGAATTTTAAAATAGCTCAAAAGGTGATAGGAAATATTAAATATTTTCCTTCAAAAATTAATTATTATTATTATATATATATATATATATATATATATATATATATATATATATATATATATATATATATATATATATATATATATAGAGAGAGAGAGAGAGAGAGATTTCATTCTACTTGCCTCCATTTTTTTGTTCATGAATTTTAGAAAGTTGTGAATGTATAAGCTGGCCAAAATATCTTCACACTTTTGTGCAGTGGCTGAGCGAACATTTTACACTCAGATAGCATATAGGAAACCATGTTCATTCATAAGGAAAAGATTTTATCAGTTTTGATGCGGTTTTAATTGACCATCACATTATTATTATTAGTAGTAGTAGTATTTTGCTTTTTGTTTAATATATTCCCTTATCTGAGAAGGAAAGTAAGACAAGTTAGTAAATAGATGCATTCTGTTTGTACTGTGTTTTTATTATTATTATTATTATTATTATTATTATTATTGGGGGTGTTGGTGGTGTTGTCTTGGTTTAAATGGTTTTCGTTTTAAACTGAAAACCTTGAATCATTTTTTTAATCACTTTTTTTCTTTTCATCCTCTTAAAAGCTCGTCACTTTTAATAATAATTAATCTTACACATTCTTCATATTTTATTTAACAGTTTTTAACCTTCAGTTCTTCTTCTTCTTCTTCTTCTTCTTCTTCTTCTTCTTCTTCTTCTACTTCGTCTTTCACTCACACAGAATATATTTCTGAAAAAATATAAATACTTATCACAATAACAATATGAAAAATAAAGTTAATGTTGAAAGACATAATGGTAAGAATGTATTTAATTTACAAAAACATCTTTTTAATACTACTTTGTAAATGAATTTAATTCACTGTTCAATATTAAAAGCACTCCAGTAAAAGTTTCACCGTGATAATCATCAGATGAAAAGTCAGTGTATGTTTACGTTCCTGGCTACGAATTTATTGATCCAACTTTATAAACATCATTTGCTTATAAACACGCAAACGTGGTCATCGACTCGCACGTGAACTCACACGCACACATTAATATATGCATAAATTGCTTATACATGAACAATCTAGAAATATCTGTTCAAAGATATACTATCATTATTATTTTTTTATATTTATTCAATTACACTCATATGTGCAGATAACTTTTGTGAGATGTTTATCAATTTTTTTTTTATAGAAAACAATTGTTAATCCATTCAATATAGGATTTTATGATCTTGAATGAGACTGTTATAAATTATATAATATTTAGTGTGCGTCCTCTAGTATAATGACGTAGACAACACGTATTTAATTCAATGTTAGTGAATCAACATTACGTATTTGCCTACTGCATTTTATATTTAAGCAAGTGAATGGTGTAAATCATTTGTTAGGGTAAGGTAAGTTGATTTTTCACTTTCGTTAGAATATCTATATTGCACTCGGTTTAAAATGTGGAATTTGATGTAATAAAATTTTTATATTCATAGCTTTTATCAAATTTTGAGCATTTATTTTTTATTTGTCTGAGAAAACGTACAGAAATACTTAATTTCCGCATGATTTTTTTTTACAAATTGACTTCAAACTTTACTATTTTCAAGAATAAATTCAAATAAAGTTTATATTTTTTTTATATTAAATGCACTTAATAGGAAATATATTTAAGCTAGAATTCTGATTCTGAATCACTACAAGCAAAATATGCAATATTTTTATTGCATTCAATTTGTAAAAAAGACTACTCAATAAATAAGATCTTACACCATTTGTTAGGTCATAATTAATGTTCTTTGTTTTTCGTAAGGCGAGAATACCACTAATACCCAAGGAGCAACAGAGAGTGAAAGTAAGGGAAAAGAATGGCTATAAAGGGGATTAAATAAAGGATAAAAAGAAGAACAGGGATCATCGCATCAGAAAATGTCGATTGACATTACACATCATTTTTTAAAGATTATAGTTATCAGGGAAGTAAGGAAGTGAAAAGAAGTTCCACTATCAGGAAGTGCGAGAGAGAAGATTTTGGAGTAGAAGAGACAGTTACATTTAACTGTTTCGATAGTAAAAGGGCGGGACCGAGATGTCAATCTAGTAGTACGCTTAAAATCATGCCATCGACGCATCCTTTAAAATAGATTGTTATAGCAGATGTCATGAAAATATTTATAGAAAAGACAAAGGGAAGCCAAATCTGTGAGAAAATGACTGGAGCCGAGACCCCAAGTCAGGACCGATCACACTGCATATCGGTCTTCGGATTTTGTCGAGAACGTCTAGATGAACATCAGGGACACCAGACCAGATATGGCAACCGTATTACATGCATAGTCAACTGGTAGATGTGAAGGATTAAAAACCTTCTGGTGCGACACAGAGAACCAACTTTCCTTGTGGTAGATGCAGCTCTTTATTCAATGTAATTGTTTCACCCGTTGTCAGTAGAAAACTTGAGACCAAGAAGGCGCAGCGTGGCGCTCTTGTGGAGTTGAGAATCAACTATGCGGATAGGAGGCAGGAAAGTTTCTCAATGTTGAGTATATGACGGCAGTTTCACTTTGGGTGCATTAGAATTCACAAGCCATTTCTTGGCCCAGTCAACCACAGATTGGAGGCCATTTTCGGGACCAACGGCCACGTTAACTTTGTCAGCAATGCCAGATTTACTATTGAGACAGGACTAAATGTTAGTGTCGTTTGCGTAGATGCCTCCTTGAGAAGTGATGACGCTAGGAATCTCATTGATGAAATCAAAAGCAGTGTACAACCAAGGATAGAACTTTAAGGAACACCAGAGTTCGTATGGAAGGAACTGGAAGTGAACCTGTTCAGGAAAACCATCATTTATGGTTAGACAGGAATGATTGGATTGTCAAATAATCGTCATGTAATAACGTATCCCTGAATCTTACGTAGAAAGCAAGCATGCGAAACCCTCTCAAAAGCCTTCGATATAGCTAGAGCAACAGCTCGAGCTTCGCCGTTTTTATCAAGGGATTGGTATACATATTCAGATATGGCCGTAAGCATATCAACGGCAGACCGGGCGAAGCGAAACCGTATTGTTTGCCAGAGAGCAGATCGTGGGAGGTGAGGTGTTTAACAAATTCAGCATTGATTAAAAACATGAAGACTTTGCAGTAGAGTGGTAAGAGACTGATAGGACGGTAGTTAGATGAGCCAGAAGGGTCTCCAGAATTCTTAAAAACCGGGATGACAGAGGAGGACTTCGAACAAGCTGTAAAGCAAGAATTGGTGAGGCAATAGTTGTATAGTTTGGTGAGAACAACGCCCCCCCAAAAAAAAAGACGTGTTTATAACACCAAAATGATGATGGGCGCATATAACGAGACAAAATGTTTTAAATTTGCATTTTTCATTGAAAATAGCACTAAAACTACTATAAGTTACATTATAATACAGCTTAATTGTTCAGGATAATTTCCCTTTCAACTAAATGAAGGTCTTATTTTATGACATCATTCTTGCTCAGTATTGCTGTCATATATGGTCTGGGGGCCCTTCTGTTTGCCTCTGGGTTCTTGATAAAATCCAGAGACGGATATGCAATATAATTCGCCCTGATCTGGCATCTCGTCTGCAGTCGCTCTCTCCCAGACGTGCCGTCGCCTTTCTCTGTCTTTTTTACAAATACTTTCATGGTAATTGCTCCGATGAGCTGCTTTCGCTGGTTCCCAGACTTCGCGAATTCAAGCGTCCTACGAGGCTGGCATCCCGCTCTCACCCTTTCACTGTTTAAACTGTTAAATATAGCCGCCTCTTCTACTTCAATATCTTCATATCTCGCACCTCTCGCCTGTGGAAATACCTTCCCTTTTCCTGTTTCTCTGATAGCTATAATCTCCAACTATTCAAGTGTAATCGACATTGCCAGTTGCCTTGATCTATCCACTATCCTTCTCCTCATCCTCTCCCCTATCATTCTCGCTCCAAATCCTCTGTAACCCCTTGCGGGCTAGTGGCTTCCCGACTTGCTTGGGGTGAAATGCTTAAAAAACAATATAATAATAATGTGCTTGTGCCATGCATCTTATCCATGTACAATTTATAAAACTTCAGGAAATTATAATTTTTACAAGGTTGTGCTATAAGGCTTTCATTGTTTACCGGAAAGAAATTCCACTGCTACGGTTTTAAAACTAAACTTAATATTTAAACTCATTTCCTTAAAAACGGTAACGATTTGGGGAAAATATTCAGTGCCATTGTTCATCATTTCAGACCCCAATTTTCAAATTGTGTGCAATAGCAGGCTTCCAAAATCGATCTGGCTTATTGTTACAGGACAAGTTGGCCTTTGCTAGTGTAATGTTGTAGATCCTCGCTTAATTTGCAACACTTGTGTTAATATTCACATACGATTGTCTCTCAGCTTTTCACTGACTTGATAAATTACTCCACGTTGTGTTTCGATTCTCATTTGTACAAAAACAGGGAAACGGACCGTTGCACTTCCACAAGGAAACGGAAGACGAAAACTTCACCACTGCGAAATTTGAAAATGCGAACCTTGTATTCAATAATCTTGTTATTTATTCACTGGTCAAATTTTGAATCGAAACTTGAACATTCTCTGAGGGTATACTGGTGTTGAGTTAAGTCTATCCGCCTCTTGTTTTTACTACCACCAAGTAACTGCTATCAATATGGCTGATTGAAAAGATGGCTCCAGTAACTAAAAGTCTTCTATATAAAATCACGAGCGAAACTATTTACATTCCTGCTGAGTGGCACTTGATCCCGAAAGTTTTTATTTATTCATAAACTTCGGTCAACGGATGTCTGGTTTGAAGATGTTATTTTGTTAGATTTTATTGTCGACGTCGTTATTAAAAAATCTGCTGTGCTTCGAACCCAGATAAAATCATTTATATTCCAGTTTACCTCGTGGCTGTTCTAAGGAAATTGTGTAGGGGGGTGTCGATTTTGGCCCTTTGCCAGACTTAGATTTGCTTATTAATTATCTACTCTCAGATAGTCTCCCAGACATATGCGCAAAATTAGACACACATCATTCTGTTCCTCTCTCTCTACTGATTCTTCCTGTTCAACTTTGGCCATGAATTGGAAAAATCGTTTCTAATCTCAGGTTGGCTGCGTTGTTGGATTGTTAGCTTTGGCTTGCCAGCGAATAGCGACACGAAATACCTTAAAAGGGGAACATCGACTACAGAATTAAACAGTTCATCCCTGAGCTGATTAGACAAACGTCACATAAAGAAGGCGTAATGATACATCTGGTGTGATAGGAGGCGCTTCGTTCGGGTGATTATCGTAGGTTGTGCATGCAATGCGATCGTGCGGCCCTCAAAATCTATAGATTTGACGATCGTATCGGTGAGGTAATCCATCAAGGATTTTCTACGTCATCCACTTTGGGTTGGTGGAAGGTGTGTGTGTTGGGAAATTAGAGGAAGACAAAAGAGAGGTATGGAAGTTAGTGAAAGATGTGTAGGGGAAGAAAGATTTTGGTGCTGAGGGAAGAACTTTCAAGAAAAGGGAAAAAAAAAGAGGTGACGGTAAATTGCAAACATTTATAGAAGATGGAAAGAAAAGGTGGTTAATATCTGAGAGAGAAAGAAAGAGAGAAAAAGAATGTTGATCAGATAATTTAAAAGAAATGCAACACGAGGATGATACTTTTAGAGACTTGACTAAGAGAAAAGGCAACAGAGAGGCGTTTATAAGAAAGAGAGAGAACTAGATAGAGATGGTTAAAGAAAGGCGGGGAAAAGTGTTGCGAATAAAGAGACAAAAATGAAGGATTTCAAAAGAAAAGAAATAAGATGTAAACAAAATAACACAAGAGAAAAGAAAAAAAAAAGGATGAAGAGGAAATAATAGAATTAGATTGGTTGAAAACGTGAAAAGATTTCAATTAAAGTCATTACAAATAAAATATTCCAGTAGAAGGAATCTTATATAAATAATAAAAAAAGAGCAAAATAACTATTTGCCTGTGTCAGAGAAAGATAGTGAATGAGAGTAAGCAATCAGAAAACATGGAGAACGAGTGGGGTATAGAGTGTGTGTATGTGTAGGCTATCTTTTTTAAATATTCCTGGCCTGAACAAGAAGGTATGTTCCTTAAAATCATTTCACTCCAAGCAAGGCGGGAATGCTTCTAGTACTCAAGCGATTACAGGCAGTGAAAATGCGAGAAAAAACTGAGTGTAGGAAGGATTGCGTAAGGAAAAAAGATGTACGGGATTCAAGAAGTTAGAAGATAGCGATTGACGTTGCATTTAAATTTTCGGGGAAGTGAGTAAACAGAAGGGAAGTGTGAGAAAAGAAACTGTTGGAGTAGAAGTTGCATATAACTATTTCAAATGTAAACGGTTGGGACCTAGATGCCAATCTAGTAGCACGCTTAAATTCATATGGTCGGGGCACCAGGAAAAAGAAGAGAAGTTGCCATGAAAATATTTGTAGAAAAGACAGCGACAAGGAAAAAAAAATCTGCTGTTTGGGTATTTCATTAAATTTTGGCAAGTAAATTGAGCCGGAAAACTTTTGGCACAACGTTGGATATAATTTGAAAAAAAAATATTTTTATCAAATTATACAAAAGAGATTATTAAGACAAAAACAAATTTTTGAAATTGAATATATATATATATATATATATATATATATATATATATACAAAAAGAATAATCACACATAGAATTAATCAGAAGTATTAATGCGATTATTGGCGACATCCATCGCTAGAAAACATAATATATGCATTAAAATCCTGTTCATCCATAGTGCGAGTTTTGATCGACATACAGGTATATCGTCTCAAGTTTTTGATTTTATAAGGGAAAAAAAAAACACATGCCTGATGATGGATAGAAGACTATCCGTAAGTACTAGCATTTTAACATCAAATAAACTGAAAAACTACAGACAACAAGTTTTTCGTCAAGGATCAAAACTCGCACTATGGATGAACAGGATTTTAATGCATATATTATGTTTTCTAGCGATGGATGTCGCCAATAATCGCATTAATACTTCTGATTAATTCTATGTGTGATTATTCTTTGTATGTAAATCATATGCTGCCTAATGTTTTATATATATATATATATATATATATATATATATATATATATATATATATATATGTACATTGCATGTAGGCATTACAGAAATAACACCCCAATAATAATAATAATAATAATAATAATCATAACAATAATAATAATAATGGATCCAAAATGCAGGTTCTGTGACAAATACCAAGAAACAATAGACCATCTAATCTCAGGATGTTCTATACTTGCCCCAAATGAATATAAAAATCGTCACGATAGAGTGGGGCAATACTTACACTGGACAATGTGCAAACACTTTGGAAAATGTGTAAGCAAACACTGGTATGAACATCGGCCAGCGCCGGTTACAGAAATAGAAGATGTCACCATTCTATGGGATTATACCATCCACACAGACAGAAAAATTGAAGCAAATAGGCCGGACATTATTGTTAAAAACCAGAAAGAAAAAACTTGCCTACTAATTGATATGGCTTGTCCAGCGGATTGTAACATAGCAACCAAGGAATTTGAAAAACTATCAAAATACAAAGACCTGGAAATTGAAATAGAAAAAATGTGGAAATTGAAAACAAGAATAATACCAGTGGTAATAGGTGCACTTGGAATTATAAAAAATGGAACAAAACAACACATTGAAAGAATCCTGGAAACCCCAGCTTAAGAGACATACAGAAAATTGTCTTATTAAGTACAGCACACACACTAAGGAGAACTTTGTCTATGTAACGCTAGCAACTTCATCGGAGGAGATAAAAAAAAAAAAAAAAAAATTAACATGAAATGTGGCCATAACAACACACCACGACCTGCCTTAGGTCTTTCCGCAGACTTGGTAGGTAGTGTGTCCATAGCAGAAATCGAATGATGATGATGATAATAATAATAATATATACTATTATGATAAAGAGACATATTTTGGAAGGATATCAAAATAATTCAAAAGCTATACTGGCAAAATGAAATCAGTAAACATACAAAAAATAGAAAGTGGTGTAAGACAAGGATGTGTCTTCACACGGGACTTATTCAAACTGTCCAGTAAGTGAGAGAAAAAAAATTTATTAAGCGCTAGAAAGGATAGAAAATGGGGGAGTGTCATGATCGCTAAAGTCCTGGAGGGACATGACACATAGAAGAAGAAGAAGAAGAAGAAGAAGAAGAAGAAGAAGAAGAAAAAGAAGAAGAAAAAGAAAGAAGAAGAAGAAAAAGAAAGAAGAAGAAGAATTGAAGGTTAAAAACTGATAAAGAAAATATGAAGGATGTGCAAGATTAATTATTATTAAAAGTAACGAGCATTTAAGAGAATGAAAAGAAAGAAAGAAATTAAGAAAATGATTCATAGGCTTGGTCAATTTTTATTTTTTTTTATGATTATAACTATTATTACTATAATAATAATAATAATGATAATAATAATAATAATAATAATAATAATGAAGCCTTGTATGCCGTAATACACAAGTCTGCAAATATTCCGTAAAATGTTATATATTAGGACGTACGACTTGATGAGAATAACCATGATTCAAGGTTTTTAGTTTAAAACGAAAACCATATAAACCAAGACAACACCACCAACATCCCTAATAATAATAATAATAATAATAATAATAATAATAAACACAGTACATGTTAAGTAGCACCTAACATCAGAATTTGTTCAAACAGAGTGCATCTATTTACAAACTTGTCTTACTTTCCTTCTCGGATAAGGGAATGTATTAAACAAAAAGCAAAATAATACTAATACTAATACTACTACTACTAATAATGTGATGGTCAATTAAAACCGCATCAAAAAAGATAAAATCTTTTCCTTATGAATGAACATGGTTTCTTATATGCTATCTTAGTGTAAAACGTTTACTCAGCCACAGCACAAAAGTGTCAAGACATTTTGTCCAGCTTATACATTCACAACTTTCTAAAATTCATGAACAAAAAAATGGATGCAAGTAGAATGAAAAATGATCAAGCAACGTAACTATTTGATGATTGCTTACTTGAATATAGTTTTCATTTCTTTTTCTAAATTTTTAAGCATGTGCCCATAGAATAAGATTTATCTGCACGGACAATGGGATTGGAATCCCGTGTTCAAATTTCAGCGGTGGCAGTTGCGTACGATTTCACACAAATAGCTTTAGAAAGGTATGAACATATTTCTTCTCTTTTCAAGGCCAAGTTATAAACAAAACAGAAAAGTAAACATTGCTTTTGAACTTTCTAATTTGTAACCATGATACAAGACAAAAAAAAAACCTCTGATTTTAAAACCGAATTTAATTTGCTAAATACTCTGAAAAAAAAACCGTAAATCCAACTTGATACAAAAAACCCAGCAGCAACGCTTAACTGGGGAAGGATGTGGCTATACAGGTTCACTGGGCATACAAACAGATTAAATTTATTTTTTACTTCACGATATTGCTCACGTTACTTACAAAGAAGCTTCACTTGAAGCATTATTATGAAGAAATACAGTGGTCGAGGCGACGGTTTCTTCATGGTAAAACGCAATCTTTTTATATATATATATAGTTACATACACACATACGCATCCAAATACACACACACACACACACGTATATATATATATATATATATATATATATATATATATATATATATATATATATATATGCACCTATATACCAAGAAGAATTTTGTTAGGAAAGATGTATGAAAAGTGGAAAAAATTTTCATATCAAGCATTTTGTCCATTATTCCGATGAAGTCCTAATTCACGAAACGCGTCACACGAAAACATTTTCCTGTTTTGTCATACATCTTTTTCTATATATATATATATATATATATATATATATATATATATATATATTGAAAAATACATACACTTCATCAAATTTGTATATATATATATATATATATATATATATATATATATATATATTGAAAAATACATACAATTCATCAAAAATATATATATATATATATATATATATGATTTTTATCTCATGATTATAATTTTAGATTGTGTCTAAATTATTTTAACTACTAATTCATTATTTTAGGTCATGTTCGGGCAAAATAGAGTCCTTAATTCCACCAATCCAGAACATCCTTGCTCGGCTGCAGCAGAACAAGTACAGCTAGTTGTATCGTCTTCATATTCTATCGGTAAAGAGGAAATGCCACTTAGACAGATTCTTCTCCAGAACTGTTAAATTGTGTTACAGACTCCCGTAGAGATGCTTCCCCTATCACCGCATTCTTAATCTATTCATGTTTATGGTACACCCGTAAAAGAACCTCATTTATTACCCCTTTAACTTGAGTGACTCTTGTGCCTTGTATTGTCTGAACAATAGTAAAAGAAAAAGTAAAAACTGCTCTTGCTTGACCTGAAAGTTTGTACTTGTCTAAAGGATTATCTGAAAGTAAATACAAACATTGCAGATTGAGAAGTCGATTTGGTGCATTACTATGGCCAAAATGATGTGACACATATCAGAGAAGTTGGAGACAATCTTCTTATTACAACCAAGACCACTTTGTATATGGAGTTTGAAAACTTCTGCGAACGGATCGATATTCCTTTGCATCTTCAATTGCTTCTTTCGCCTCGTTTGTCTACTCTCTCATTCGTACACCCTTCGTGCCAACCGGACAGTTAAACCCGAATTGTCTGGCCTTCTCGCATGCAAATGGAAACCAATGCAATTTCAAAAAGAAGCATTAACAGCATAGTCATAATTGGACATTACGACCCTAACGGGCATCCGTAATTAACACTTGACTCCCATCTCGTGACTCTGCCCCGTTTGCCACGGACGTCCGTTAAATCACTTAACTGGGTGAGTTGATCTCTTCCCGCATAATAGCGAGTCTTTGTAATGAAACGGGTTTTGCTGATCGGACACGGTTTCTCTTCCTAATTTCGGAGTGTTTCCGCGTGCCTTTCTGCATTTATTTCTCCTTGCTTGGTTTTTACGCTTTGTGACTGAAGTTTGCTGTCTATAGAAACATTTATGTGTGAATGTTTTCTAGGAAACAATTTTTCGAAGACAACGAGAGATCTCATTTCAGATAGAAAATTAGAAATTTGTTTCCAGACAGACGCGCACATACACCAGCCCATCCAAATCGTCAAACATGCAGAAAGTTTTTATAGATATACATGACTGGAACTTGTCAAGGTTGACAAAGTGCGTAGTAGCATTCCTCTGGTACTGATATTGTTGGAGAGGCAATTCCGGTAGGTAAAGGTGAGGGAATCTTCAAAGCGATAAATCTGAAAATTTTTGTCGACAACGAAAATAACAATTCATTTACAAGACGTTAAGACATCAAGATTTCTGGCGATGACTTAGACCGCAGTTAAAAGGATGCACGGACGAGTTTAACAATGGTATAGCGCCAAACGGAAATCTGGTCGCTGACTCCACTGTCCTTGCAGGTAAGAACTTTACCAAATCGGGTGTCTTTGCAGGCAAATATATTTGAATTTTAGATAAGTACAAAAAACTTGCAGGCATTCATACACACCCGCACATACCCGCAGACACAGGCAGAAGCGCACACCTCTTACCATGCATATATATATATATATATATATATATATATATATATATATATATATATATATATATATATATATTGGTATATATATATATAGTTGGTGCAAAAATAATGACGTAATAATGTCGTTTTTTGACGTATTTTTAACGTCAAAAAACGACATTCTTACGTCATTATTTTTGCACCAATCTAATAATATAAAATATTAAAACTGATCCACAAAAAGACCTCAATGCATTTATTATTACATGCATTATTATTATTATGCATTTATTATTATTATATGTGTGTGTGTGTTTATTTGTCAGTGTGTCTGTGTTTCTAAAATATATATATATATATATATATATATATATATATATATATATATATATATATATATATATATAAGTGAACTTTGAAGTCAGGCCGTCTGAGGATTGCGTCTAGCATGAAACAGCCTGTCGCTTCTGGATGTTGACTTCAGTGTTCACTTTTATATTTATATTTACATACGCTCTGTCTCTGATATTGAGCACTTTATCACGTAAATATAGCACACCTTAAAACTATATTTCTTCATATATATATATATATATATATATATATATATATATATATATATATATATATATATCATTTTAATCATTTCACCCCAATTAAAGCCACTAGGACGCAAGGGCGATTAAGTGCCAGTGAATATGGCAAATAATGCTATTAAGGTGAGCGGACAATAAAAGAAAAAGTATTAAGAAACCCGTAGATAACAAAAGAATAATTATTTGAGAAACGTTTTGTTTATTTCAGGCGAAACCAAAAAAAGAAGATCACCGAGTTAAAATTCGAGCCATGTCTATTATGCTTGCATTCGCAAAAATAGACTTGAAAAAATTGTCACGCGATATCTTCTCCCTCAGTACCGGGTAAAAAGCAAAACACACTAAACACTTTAATATTGACTGGTATGCTGTCAAGAAGGAAACCTATAGATACAAAATATCTTAGACCTCGATACTACACACCGTAAAGAAATATTTTCAAAAGAATCCACAGCAGCAACGCTAAGCGTGGTGAAGCTGTGTCTTTATACTTCACATTGTGAGTCTACAGGAGAGGTATACATGCTCCATCCCTTATGTGCATGAATAAAACAGGACGTGCTTTCATTGAAATAAGAAAATTAAAAGTTATGAAATGTAGGGGAAAGTTAATAATATTCAATGGATTTTATGCTAGCTGTTATACTTCGAAAATAAAATAAAGACACAACAGTCATCCATATATATATATATATATATATATATATATATATATATATATATAATAGTGACGCATTTGAGGAAACGACAGATTGCGCTTCAAAATGTATAAGGCGAAAATTACCAGATGGACGTGGCATAGTTACAGACCTTTTGAAAGAAGAAGCAAATTCCTGAAAATTTCAGTCTCCAAATAGCAATCTCAGCGTTTATAGAAAGGGAGACACTGAAGACAGACTATTCATGAAATTACTTACAGATAAAAAAAAAAAAGAAGATCTATCAGTGATGGAAGAATCTCACGTGAATAGTCAGATTGTAAAAGTGCGCTGTGATGCAATGGATAGCTGCTAGGGATATGGAATCGGATGGCCGAGTTCGAATTCCACTCGAGTTGGTTAAATTAATTGGGAAATGTGTAAATTCCTCTCTTCTCCCTCCTGACTGAGGAGCCCGATAGCGTTGATAACCATTGTAAGAAAAGGCAAAACTCTGAATTCAAACCAACTTGGAGAGTGTTGGAATGTAACACACTTTACTGAGCCTTACTTGACTATGAA